ACCACACAAAGACCCATAGACTCATCACACAGAGATCCATAGACTCACCACACAGAGACCCATAGACTCATCACACAGAGACCCATAGACTCACCACACAGAGACCCATAGACCCATCACACAGAGACCCATAGACTCATCACAGAGACCCATAGACTCACTACACACATACCCATAGACTCACCACACAGAGACCCATAGACCCATCACACAGAGACCCATAGACTCATCACAGAGACCCATAGACTCACTACAAACAGACCCATAGACTCATCACACAGAGACCCATAGACTCATCACACAGAGACCCATAGACTCACCACACACAGACCCATAGACTCATCACAGAGACCCATAGACTCACTATACTACACAGAGACTCATGGACTCAACACACAGAGACCCATAGACTCACTACACAGACCCATAGACTTATCACACATAAACCCATAGACTCATCACACAGAGACCCATAGACTCATCACACAGAGACCCATAGACTCATCACACTGAGACCCATAGACTCATCACACAGAGACCCATAGACCCATCACACAGAGACCCATAGACTCATCACAGAGACCCATAGACTCACTACAAACAGACCCATAGACTCATCACACAGAGACCCATAGACTCACTACACACAGACCCATAGACTCATCACACAGAAACCCATAGACTCATCACACAGAGACCCATAGACTCATCACACTGAGACCCATAGACTCATCCCACGGAGACCCATAGACTCACTACACACAGACCCATAGACTCATCACACAGAGACCCATAGACTCACTACACAGAGACCCATAGACTCATCACACAGAGACCCATAGACTCAACACACAGAGACCCATTGACTCATCACACAGAGACCCATAGACTCATCCCACGGAGACCCATAGACTCACTACACACAGACCCATAGACTCATCACACAGAGACCCATAGACTCACTACACAGAGACCTATAGACTCACTACAGACCCATAGACTCATCACACAGAGACCCATAGACTCACTACACAGAGACCCATGCACTCATCACACAGACCCAAAGGCAGCATCTCCGCTGTGTTTTATAATCAGTGCTTAATCAAAAACGTGCATACACAGATACATACACAGATACATACACAGATACATACAGGGTACATACATATACACACGGCACACGTACACACCTTACACACGTATATATTGTTATATTATAATGGTATTTTATGTTGGTAAATTCTATGGTTATATTATATTTATATTTTCTATTGCGATATGCTACACAACAAGAACAACCGCCATTCGCCACTAAGTGGCGGTGACATCACCACGACGCTTGTGCCAGGCTATGTGCACCTTGAGGCCACGTGAAGTGTCGAACGCCCGCTGGCAGGAAGTCATGGGGCAGACCCAGGTGCCATGGATGGAATGACTGAGATGACTGGCTGATGCACCACCTGTGCCCCCTACTGTGCCAACTTGCTGTGCTTTAGCCACCCGGCGCTCCGCTCGTTGTGAGCGTCGCTCCTCCGCCCTCCGTTGTTGTTGGAGGGCGACTGCCTCCAACTGCCCAGTAGCGTCCTTCACGAGCCTCCACAGAGGCCGATCTTGATGCCCCTGGTACCAGTCTTTGGCAAGTCCACTCAGCTCCACATCCTCCTGTACCACATCACTCCATCTCTTCTCTAGCCTTTTCCGCGCCCGTTTAGCGAACAAAAGCTGTTTAGGCATGCGGTGGCTGGGCATGCGGGCTGCATGTCCCAGCCAATGCAGCCTTGCCTGCTGGAGGAGCTCACCGATGGGACTTTGTCCACATCTTTCAAGGATTTGTGGGCTCCTCACACATTCCAGCCTGGTTAAACCCAGGATGGATCGTAGGCAGGCCAGCCTCAATATTTCTAACTGGCGAAGATGTTCCATTAGGGGGGTCCACGTTTCGCAAGCGTAGAGAAGGGAGGGAATGACCGTGGCCGAGAAGACCTGAAGCTTCGTGCGGAGCGACCGACCAGGTAGCTTCCACACAGCGTTACGCAACCGATGAAAAGATATTGCCGCTCAACTGATTCGGAGTGAGACCTCTGCTGTTTAACCGGAGCCGGTCATAAGCACACTGCCCAGGTATGGGAAACTCTCCAGTCTCTCCACAACTGCCCCATCACCGATTGTGAGTTGTGGGGGTGGAGTGTCCGATGGTACAAAATACCCTGGCAGGTGCTTAGTTTTGGTGGTTGCCTGCCAGCAACGGGGAGTGCTTGTGAACTGAGCAAAGTAAATAAAAGGACCGATTCCACAAGCCGTCTCCCGAGTGTTGTTACACAAGGTGGGAGTCCCAGGGTCTCGCTAGCCGGTCCTCAGTCTTCTACTGGCTCTTCTGCCTTCAACTCGTGGCCACAACTCACCCCCTTGGCTCCTGCCTTTCATACGTCTCCCACCCGAGGGGCGGGGTCCCGTGGGATCCCAGGACACCCGTTGGGAGGGGTGCGGGGGATTAAGACGCCCCACAGCTCCCTGCAGGTAAGTAGTGGCTGCTAGCCGATGTGTGCATGGCTTACATAACACCATTACATGCTGGTTTGATTTAAAGCTTTCGTGACTGCAGGGAAATTTTTTTATTGTTTTATATTAATATTATATTTTATATATATTATTTCCCTTCTACGTGCCTTTATTATTTATATTATTTTATTATTTCCCTTCCATGAAACTTTATTATTTTTATTATTTTATTATTTCCCTTCTACGTGACTTTATTATTTATATTATTTTATTATTTCCCTTCTACGCGACTTTATTATTTATATTATTTTATTATTTCCCTTCTACGTGACTTTATTATTTTTATTATTTCCCTTCTACGCGACTTTATTATTTTTATTATTTCCCTTCTACGTGACTTTATTATTTATATTATTTTATTATTTCCCTTCTACGTGACTTTACAATTTATATTATTTTATTATTTCCCTTCTACGTGACTTTACTATTTATATTATTTTATTATTTCTCTTCTACGTGACTTTACCGAAAGAACCAGGAATATATATACCATTACATGCTGTATAAAAGGCTAAGTTGTGAGTATGTGTGTCTGTTCAAAATGTTTAGCGTACTTCCTGAAATGCAACAGACTTGAAATTTGCCATGCGGGTACTTTGCAGACTGTACACCATGCACACTTTATAAAAATACACTTTTGTGTTTTTTTTTGCACAGCAAGTGAGCTGTGACGTCACATACCTGTCATGTCACCCAAATGCGTGGCTGGGGAGGGGAGATAAAAGAAATAATAAACTCGGCTACAAACTTTGAACTTGCCACGTGTCTAGCTCCCATACTGTACACAAAGTCAACCGTCTAAAATTGTACACCCCTAGCTGCCAGTGCTATTCAGTGACCTAAAATTAAATGTTTCGCTCCGGATGATCGCTACAAAGTATGACCTGTGTTTTGATTTAGTGTGCTGATCTTAAAGGTGCATTGAAAAATTACAATACTCCGATTGATGCTCCTGCTGTTGTGGAGTGACTCATGCAGCCAGCTATGGCTGCAGGGTTTTGGTAGTAGATGTTGTTTATGCCATTTATTGTGAAAATTCCGTCACAGTTCCTATGATTGCTTTTTCATTGCTTTCATGGCTTTATTTTGGTGATTTCGAAAAGTGTATTGGTTTAGCCATGTTTGTTTGTTGTAGTACAGAGTTAGACTGATGGCCTTAATCTAAGCTGTCTTGTGGTTGTTGTTGTTGTTTTACTTGCATCCCACTGAGATTTTTGCACACAGCGTTGGTGTACGGTGTTTTTTCTGCAATATTTTTGCTGTCTTTTCTTGAATTTTCTGTTTGCACTTAGTCACATATTCACTTTAAGATGTTTTTTTGTTCATGTTTTTGTTTTTTGTTTGTTGCGGTTGCACCCGATTCAAGAGCCGAATGGCTCACAGGGCTATACCTAATAAATGAACTTGAACTTGTATTTTGGGGGGTGACCACGAGGTGTGTGACGTCACCAGCATACAGGAAATGGCGAGAATCGATATCTGATGAGCGTTTGTGGTATCGATTCAACGGGAATAGGCCGATTCTAAAGGAATCTACGACCTTCGATTCCTTCGCACGATTTAAAGAATCGAATCTTGGCGCGCGCGCGTGCGTAAGTTTAAAGTTTGACGCAGCGCTCGTTGGGGTTTTATTTTTAATTAGCGAGGTAATGAACAAAGTTTTATTTTCATTTGTATATGTTGTGTTTTTAAGTTTTAAGAAGTTTATAAATATATTTTTTCCCCCTGTAGGAGGGAGCTGTCTCTACCTGACTGGTGACATTCAATGCGGTTCGTGGTGATGATGCCGGTCGGCTACAGAGCTCACCAGAGTGACAACACCAGTCGGAGTTCATCACGATCGCGGTGGCGAGGAGATGTTCACTCCCTCGCCTGGTGGACAAGTGGTCGTGGGCTCGATCCCGTGTACAAAGCGAGGGAGTTAACATCTCCCAGCCACCGTGATGATGAGCGTGAGACTTGAAAACTAGAAATACACAGCAACAGCAGGCATCGTCAGGGCTGAGATCGAAGCCACGACCCCCTGTATACCCGGCGAGGTAGTCAACATCTCATAGCCACCGTGACGATGATGAGAGAGAGAGACGCAAACTCCAAATATACGGCAGCAGGCATCGTCAGGGTCGGGATCAAACCCATGACCTCCTGCATACCAGGCGAGGTAGTCAACATCTCATAGCCACCGTGACGATGATGAGAGAGAGAGACGCAAACTCCAAATATACAGCAGCAGGCATCGTCAGGGTCGGGATCAAACCCACGACCTCCTGCATACCAGGCGAGGTAGTCAACATCTCATAGCCACCGTGACGATGAGAGAGAGAGACGCAAACTCCAAATATATGGCAGCAGGTATCATCAGGGTCGGGATCAAACCCACGACCTACATATCAGGCGAGGGAGTTAACATCGTCTCCACCGGTTCACTTCTGCACAGCGCCGATGGCCATGAGGATGAGGAGGAGCTGTTCCTGGCCGGGTCTCTGCGCCTGTGGGGGCTTCGTCTTCGCACAGCTGTGGGCAGTCTCGGCCGCTTCCTGGTGGTAACCGTTGGCCGCTGTCTTCCTCCTCACGGCTGCGATGAGCGCAAGTTTCTAAGTTCATTGGTTTCTGAGCGGCCTCCTGACCGTCTTGTATTTTACACACCCCGTACAGTCGTTTAACACCTAGTAGCGGCAGGGCTTTCGCGACCAATGTCATCCACAATAGAGGCGTTTTTGGTGTTAGATCGCGTAAATATATAAATGTTCTTTGGTTCTTTCGGTAAAGTCACGTAGGTAGAAATAAAATAAAATGAAACAAATCACGACGTTTCGATCGCAACACAAGCGAACTTCGTCGGGAGGGGGACAACCACAGCGAGACAATGCTGAAGTCGGCGGGAGAGCTGCCGTGGCAAGAGGTTACATAGTAGTGTAATGTGAGGATGTATCCGGCTCACTGACGTATCACAACTCGTCACGATGATTGGCTCTGCCGGTCCTGGTTTATAGCCAATGGGGGAAGCCTGGGGCCATGGCTCTGACGTAATGGCAAGCTGACAGCTGCAAGTAGATGATTGGTTCTGCTGGCTTTGGCCTCAGCCAATGGGGAGACGAGTCAGGGGCGTGGTCCCGGGAGCCTACGAGGGAGCCTGGAATATTCCACGGAGGCTAACCAGGATTGGTGGAAACGTACCACGTGACCCGGGTATTAAATAGGGGTGGAGAGGAACGGCACGTGGTCAGAACGGGAACGAACGGAGGAAGGGGGCCACGCGGGAGCGGGGCTCCGGGTTGCCACGTGGTCCAGGCTGCCACGTGGTCCAGGCTGCCACGTGGTCCAGGCTGCCACGTGGCAGTGTGTCTCTCTGTCTGTCCCTTTCACGCTGCCTGTCAACAGCGTGAAGGGAAGCTGTAATGCAAGTTGAATAAAAGACGGATTCCAGAAGTCGCCTCAACGACCCTTATTACATAGGTAAGAGAGGGGGGAGGAGGCAAGGGGGGAGAGAGATAGGGGGGGTGGTAGGGTGAGGGGGGGGGCGCGTGAGTGCTATGGAAAGAGGACGTGAGGCTGGGGGGGGGGGTGTGGGCGGGGCTGGCAGTAAACCGGCAGGTACGATGGAAACAACAACAACAACAAGTGAAGGCATTACCTGGTTGATAACATCCTTGCAATGATTGTTCAATTTGTATCCATCTTCTCGGTTTAAGTTTTGTCTATGTTTATATATCTGGATGGCTTCATGCACACACCTTTCATAGTAGCCCGAAGGTTTGCAGAGTAGCTTGGTCTCGGAAAAAAACAATATCACGCGAGCCCACGGCGTTATAGCAATGGTCAGCTACGGCAGAGGTATTGGTTCTGCCGTGTTTCAGATCTGCCTTGTGTTCGCGAACACGGTCCGAGACATGACGTTTTGTTTCCCCAATGTAACTGCTACCGCAGGGCATTGCATGTCAAGAATGACCTCCTTCACAGATGGGATTAGATCACGTATTTTGACCTGCATACCAGGCGAGGTAGTCAACATCCCCTGGCCACCGTGACTCCCCCCCACCCCCCGTCCCTTGCAGGTTGCTGCCCCTGTGGACCCCGCTCTTCGACCGCTCCGACTCTCCACTGCTGTGCACCGCGGCGCCGGGTCTCTCCCCCGGACAGCGCAGCCTGTGCCGGCGGCACTCGAACCACGCGGAGCAGGTGGCCAATGGCATCCAGCTGGCGCTCGACGAGTGTCGGCACCAGCTGCAGGCCTGGCGGTGGAACTGCACCACGCCCGGCGCCGAGGACACTCTGGGCCCCGTGGCTCAATCTGGTAAGGGGATCGTCAGGCTGGGTCGGAGCGAGCGTCGGAGCCTCTGCCGGCAACATAAAGGTTTAAAATAGCATGGTCGGGGCAGCTGATGTCAGTGATGGTGGTAGTCGTGAGCAACGACGGCGCTGGTGGTGGGTTTTCACCAATCGGAGGGCTGCCTCGCTTTACTCGCCACCATCCGACACGGCCAATTAGCGAGGTCTAGTGTCGTGTAAGCAGAACGTGGCCAATCCCCTTGTTTCAGACTGAAGTAGAATGTCTCCACAATGCTGGCTGTCGCCCAGAGGTCACAAACGGATATCGGGTACCCGGTTGCGACCTCTGCTGTCACCTGATGACGCTAGTTGTTGTTGTTGTGGTGGTTGTTGTGGTTGTTGTTTTCCCAGCGAAACATCACAATACTCGAATTGTAAATGTTGCAGTGAGTTTACTCTTCAACACACAGCAACCGGTCAGTGCTGTACTAGTGCAATGAGACAAAAACGTGCAGAGTGCTTCTTATTCATTTCTCACACTTGGGCACAAACACTGGGCGATATATATAGACACGTTTCTACGTGGCTACACACAGCCGACCTTTCTAGACAGCCCCATCGTCGGCGTCTAGCTACACGTAGCGATGACGACGACGACGATTGGAGCTGTGCAGAGGATCGGCCAGGATCCCGCGACAGCCCCGAACCTTCAGTTACGTCCCCCCTACTACACACTTCCCGGCGTGGCGAAACCCCGACTCCGGCCATGCCCCCTTCTAGAACCTTCTAGCAAGTTCCCGGAGCTTCCCTACTGACCCCGCCTGTTACCTTGAACCCAGAGACGCCCCCCTTGTGGTTGGTTATTATATTACGCGCCCATACTCGTGATTACCCGTCCTGGCCCACAGGTGGCGCCCTGTCGTCGCACTCGTAACGAATTCGCCACGTTCTGTTTTTCGTGCCAAATCCTTAACCTATGGGATGCGTCGGCGGGAGTGGCGGTTCTAACGACGTGACGTTTCTATTTCGGCAATGGTCTACACGAGATAATAGACAGTCGATCAAATTGTTTTGTCGGCGGGGCTGATTGGGCTCTTCGGGGTGGTCGGGGTGGGGGGGGCTCCAGGCTCGCGCGAGGCGGCCTTCGTCTCCGCCCTGATCGCCGCCGGAGTTGTCCACGCGGTGGCGCGCGCCTGCCGCCAGGGGGCGCTGCCGGGCAGCTGCGACTGCGTCGCTGCGGCCGCGGCAGATCTGCCGCGTGGCGCCCAGCCGGGCTGCGGGGACGACGTCAAATACGGATACCGGTTCGCCAGGAAGTTTGTGGACGAGAGCGAGCACGATCGCAGGCGGCATGGAAGAGGAGGGGAGTCTCGGCTGGAGCTCGTCCAGATGAATTTGCACAATAACAAGGCCGGCCGGCTGGTGAGTCGGCAAATGGGTGGATGGGTAGACGAAAATTAAAAAATTAACCCGTAAAAACAACGTTTTTCACTATAAATCCTTTATATGCGTGGCGGCTAGAGTCCTCTCGTCCTCTGGCTTGAGATGGCTGCCACCTATGGGTCAGATGATTGCCTGCCACCATTAAGCAATTGGTAATTAAATATTTAATTTGTTTTCCCTAAACAGTGTAAAATTTTGTAAAAAAAATTCACGAACATTAATTGTCTCGCAGAACGAGTCTGTGTGCAAAATGTCAGCTCGATTGGATGACGGGAAGTGGGTTAAAAAACGACCGAAAGATTTGCACGGTCGTATGCAAGCAAGCAAGCACGCAAGCGAACTTAATTTAAAGGATTTAAAAATCGCCCTGTTGGGCACGCTGAGGAGATGCTTGCGCAGACCCAATGTGGTTTTAGGCCAGGGTGGCCCCGTCTGCTACAGCAGAGGTGTAGGGAATTCCAACAAGACCTACATCTCTGCTTTATTGACCTGGTCAAGGCCTATGATACCATCAGTAGGTCTGGGTTGTGGGTTTTTCTTTGTGCTTTCAGTGTCCTTGACTCATGATGGTGAGCGGGCCTGGGAAAAGCTGCGTGGCGATGTTCTCTGGCTCCCACATAACTTAAAAAATTATTTTTGACCATGTAGTTCGTGAAGCCTTCCATGGCTGTAACGGGAGAATTTCCATCGGGTAGAGTGGGAGGGTGATGGATGCACGGGTGCGGTCAAGGGATGGCTCCCTATTGCTCAACCATGTTATGTATTCCGATGATCTGGTGATTGCTGCTCACTCAGAGGAGGAGATGGAGACGCTGCTGCTGAGACTGGAGCGTGCCACTAAGAGGTGGGGCCTTACCATCAGCCCCACCAAAACTAAGCACCTGCCTGGGTATTTTGTACCATCGGACACTCCACCCCCACAACTCCCATTTGGTGATAGGGTAGTTGTGGAGAGAGTGGAGAGTTTCCCATACTTGGGCAGTGGTGCATTGGCCAGTCATCTCCGTCAGTCGACCCATGACACCTGGGTCTGTCCCATGACCTCCTGCCAACGGGCATTCGACACTTCACGTGGGCTTAATGTGCACATGGCTTGGCACAGGCGCCGTGGTGACATCACCGCCACTTATTGGCGAATGGCGTTTGGTAGTGATGATTGTGGTGGTGACGATGATGATGGTGGTGGTGGTGCTACAGGCTGTGTACAATCTGGCGTACACGCAGTGCAAGTGCCACGGGTTGACTGGCGCCTGCACGCTCAAGATCTGCTGGCCACAGCTCGCAGACTTTCGCAAAGTTGGAAACTTTCTCAAGGTGAGCTCACGGCTGCATGGGACTGCACCCTGAGGAGGGGTGAGGGTGGGTGGGGTGAGGTGCGTGAGTGTGGGGTGAGTGTGGGGTGAGTGTGGGGTGAGGTGGGTGGGGTGAGTGGAGGTGAGGTGAGTGTGGGTGGGGTGAGGTGGGTGAGTGTGGGGTGAGTGTGGGGTGAGTGTGGGGTGAGGTGGGTGGGGTGAGGTGGGTGGGGTGAGGTGGGTGGGGTGAGTGGAGGTGGGGTGAGTGTGGGTGGGGTGAGGTGGGTGAGTGTGGGGTGAGTGTGGGGTGAGTGTGGGGTGAGGTGGGTGGGTGAGTGAGTGTGGGGTGAGGTGGGTAGGGTGAGTGGAGGTGAGGTGAGTGTGGGTGGGGTGAGTGTGGGTGGGTGTGGGGTGAGTGTGGGGTGAGTGTGGGGTGAGTGTGGGGTGAGTGGAGGTGGGGTGAGGTGGGTGAGTGTGGGGTGAGTGTGGGTGGGTGAGTGTGGGTGGGGTGAGGTGGGTGAGTGTGGGGTGAGTGTGGGGTGAGGTGGGTGGGGTGAGTGGAGGTGGGGTGAGTGTGGGTGGGGTGAGGTGGGTGGGTGTGGGGTGAGTGTGGGGTGAGTGTGGGGTGAGGGTGGGGTGAGGTGGGTGGGGTGAGGTGGGGTGAGTGTGGGGTGAGTGGAGGTGGGGTGAGGTGGGTGAGTGTGGGTGGGGTGAGTGTGAGTGTGGTGGGGTGAGTGTGGGTGGGGTGAGTGTGGGTGGGGTGAGTGTGGGTGGGGTGAGTGTGGGTGGGGTGAGTGTGGGTGGGGCTGAGTGTGGGTGGGGTGAGTGTGGGTGGGGTGAGTGTGGGTGGGGTGAGTGTGGGTGGGTGGGGTGAGTGTGGGTGGGGTGAGTGTGGGTGGGGTGAGTGTGGGTGGGTGAGGTGGGTGGGGTGAGTGTGGGTGGGGTCAGTGTGGGTGGGGTGAGTGTGGGTGGGGTGAGTGTGGGTGGGGTGAGTGTAGGAGGTGGGTGAGCTGAGTGTGGGTGGGGTGAGTGTGAGTGTGATGAGTGGGTGGGGTGAGTGTGGGTGGGCTGAGTGTGGGTGGGGTGAGTGTGGGGTGAGTGTGATGTGTAGGTGGGGTGAGTGTGGGTGGGGTGAGTGTGGGTGGGGTGAGTGTGGGGTGAGTGGGTGGGGTGAGTGTGGGTGGGGTGAGTGTGAGTGTGATGAGTGGGTGGGGTGAGTGTGGGGTGGGGTGAGTGTGGGGGTGAGTGGGTGGGGTGAGTGTGGGTGGGGTGAGTGTGAGTGTGATGAGTGGGTGGGGTGAGTGTGGGTGGGGTGAGTGTGGGTGGGGTGAGTGTGAGGTGTGGGTGGGGTGAGTGTGGGTGGGGTGAGTGTGGGTGGGCTGAGTGTGGGTGGGGTGAGTGTGGGGTGAGTGTGATGTGTGATGTGTAGGTGGGGTGAGTGTGGGTGGGGTGAGTGTGGGTGGGGTGAGTGTGGGTGGGGTGAGTGTGAGGTGGGTGGGGTGAGTGTGGGTGGGGTGAGTGTGGGTGGGGTGAGTGTGAGGTGGGTGGGGTGAGTGTGGGTGGGGTGAGTGTGAGGTGGGTGGGGTGAGTGTGGGTGGGGTGAGTGTGGGTGGGGTGAGTGTGGGTGGGGTGAGTGTGGGTGGGGTGAGTGTGAGGTGGGTGGGGTGAGTGTGGGTGGGGTCAGTGT